TTTTTTTTTTTTTTTTTATCGGGGGGAGAAAGCAATATTAAACACGTTTCATTCGTATCACGTCTATTTCTCGAGTAACCACTTCATCCGCGCTCCGGGTTAGTCGATTAGAAACTTAAAGTTTCAAGACGGTGTAAGTCTTTTTAGTCTCTACTTGTTAAAAAAAAATCAAAGGATTTATCCCTCGACCATCTTACGAAGGGACTTACTTTTATCACTTGCAAGGTTCTTTCTTGACTCGAATTGATATACCTTTTTCTTTTCTACGTGCAAATTAAATTACTTTGCACAAAGTAAATTAAGTGAAATCATCATACAGCTGACTTGGAATGCTTTAAAATTATTGTAGTAAGGGTACTATAGAAAATTGATTACCCAGCGAGGAACGATCAACTGTGGCTATACTTTACTTCCATTAGAGAATGAAACAATCTGGCAACAAGAGCCGTAATGTATGTTAATCACGTACCATATGTTCATAAATCTCATCGGCAATAATTGGTATGTAGTAACGAGCGGCCACGTCGAGAATGTCAAGTGTGTGATCCCTGCTGAACACGGAACCGCACGGGTTCGAAGGATTGTTTATAATGATCGCCGCTGTGGACTCGTCGATCTGTGATTCCAGGTCGTCCAGATCGATCTCCCAGCCGAGTTCAGGCTGAAAATTTCCCAAAACCCAGTGTCACGACCCCATTGGCGAATAATCGAATTATTTATCATGCATGAAATTCCAGTTTTGGCGAGCGAGAGTAATAAAATAACACTCTTTAGGTAACTTTAGATAAAACTATATGTAATAAATATCTACGTACACACGTAGAATAGGTTAAATTTAGGTTAGATTTAGGTTACTCTGGTTTCCCTTCAAATCACGTATAAATCTTTCGCCTTTTACTAAAGATTTCCGTGGAGACAATTTTTTTTAGGTTAAGTTTAGGTTAGGTTTAGGTTAGGTATTAGGATAAAACGTTTATACAAATTCATTTTGATTCACCATTTATGCTTTGGCTAATTAAATTCATCATCGCACACAAGTAATCTGTGTTGAATCTTTAATTAAACAAATGTTTAAAATAGCTTTAGACAACATTATAATATTTTCATTATCTATAGAATGGATAGATGAGGTATTTATACAGGATACTTATTTTGATTCGGAATTTGTGCTTCGAAGTTAAATTTATATTGGTATATAAATGATACTCAGTTTTTAGTTACTTTAAATATTCGATAAGATAGACAAATAAGACCATTTACGATATTATGATAGACTGTATATTCTCTACTGATGGAAAAATAGACTATACATTCCCTTATAATAGATAGAACTATGACTATATATATATTCAATATTTACTATAGACTAGATAACATTTACATAGATCCATTTTGATTCAGCATTTATCTTCTGATTTATATAATTGACATATAAACAGTATCGAATTTTTAATTAAACAAACTTTCAATTAGTTTAAATGTTCGACAACTTTCGATAAACCTACAATATATGTTTACATTTGTAAAATAAATAGATGAGACATTTACACAGTGTCCATTTTGATTTAGCATTTTTGCTCTGACTGATTCATATAATTGACATATAAACAGTATCGAATTTTTAATTAAACAAACTTTCAATTAGTTTAAATGTTCGACAACTTTCGATAAACCTACAATATATGTTTACATTTGTAAAATAAATAGATGAGACATTTACACAGTGTCCATTTTGATTTAGCATTTATGCTCTGACTTCAGTAGTTGAATACATACTGGCACAATAATAATAATAATAATTATACAATAAATAGTATTGAATTTTTAATTACTTTAGCTATTCGATAGAACAGACGTTAAAACAAAATAAAATATAGCGTAATTGATTAGGCTCTGATTGGGTTTAGGTTAGGTTTCTCTATAACTGATTTTTGTAGATTCTTCAAATTAATGTCTGTTGGAGGAAACATTTGCAACTTATCACCGCGATCTTTCCACTTGCGCCATTTTTTTCGCGATGCATACAGGAACGTGTACACATTTAAATACCAGTACGTCTTCAGCACGGAGCAGCAAAGAAAACATAACACGAGAGCCGACGTAGTGACATGCAATGAAATACTATTTTAGCATTTCGTGAACGTGGCTTTCCGCGTGTTTCGCAAAACTATGCGGCTACTTTCGTTTTAACTTTTTTTTCTTCTTTTTCATTCCCGTTGTCTCGCACGAGATCAACAACGTAACTGCGGCTACCAATGTGTTTTACAAAAATTCAAATATTTTGAAATGGACAAGAACGACAAGTGTACTGGTGAAATTGTAGA